CCCTGGCTGGTTTGGCTCAGCAGTTAGAGCATCAGCCTGAGGACCGAGGGGTTGTGGGTTTGATTCCGGTCAAGGGCACCTACCTCAGTTTTGGTTTGTCCCAGCCCTGGTCGGGGTTGTGCAGGAGGCAACCACTCAGTGTCTCTCTCATGTCAATGTTTCTCTCTCTCTGAAGATAAATCCGGGGGGGGGGGGAGGGGGGGGAGTGTATTCTCAGATGAGGATTTAAACAATTAGAAAGCACCCCCATTTATCAAAAATGAATGTTTCTTGTCATTAAAGGGGCTCAGGGAAAACAGAACGCACGGCCCACCGCCGTGTGAGCGGCCGTTCTTCGTTAGGCAGCACCGGTGTCCGTGTGCTCTGTGACATTCAAGAGCCCAGCAGCCACTGCGAAATGCTGAAGATGTTACTGCATATTTAGAACAGCTATTTGGATCTCAATTATTAATGAGATTAGTGTCCTGAATGTTAGCAAGAGCACTGCCTTAGGTAAAGGCTGTAAAGGAAATCATATTAGCGTGGAATTTCCTGTCCTCGGGGGCTCCTCTTAGATTGCATTATTCACTTAGATATCTCCTGTCAGCGAAATTGAAATGTTGGCCATGATCTGCTCCTGGGGCAGGACCAAATGGACAAGTTAAGGGCTCGTGCAATGGTGCCAGTTCCAAAACATTTCTCTGGTGCTGGTGTTGCCTTCGGTTTCCGTTTGGTGTTTACCAAGTAGCACCAGCCAGGACAGCAAACAGAGGAGCCAAGTGGAGAGCAGCCTTGTAGCAAAATCTGGTGTCAGTCTTTCGAACAGGCAAGTCTGCGTTTCTCTTTCTGTCCAGACACTTGGCAAGTCTCGATGGCTTCGCTGTGGCCCTTCGTCCTGGTGGCTGCCTCAGGTGAGTCCTCTGAGGGATCGAACAGGCGCTGAACATTGACCCTGAGAAACTAGACAGGGTTTTCTCCACCGTGCGGCGTAGCTCTTCACGAGTGTTCACGCCTGCTCATCTGTGACATGCAGTCCCGCGGGCTGCAAGGAGGCTGCTGCTCCAGCTACCGATACGTGTACACACAGGGTCACGCAGGGATGCTCTCCCCACACCGCTGAGAACAGGCTCTGGAATGTTCTGTTTGCCGAATCTCTGCTTCTCCTAGGACTATGCTCTGCTGCAGTTTGGTTTGAGTGTGGGGCATTCTTTTTCAGAATTGCTTGTGTCTGAATTGTGTATTTTTTATTATCCAAAATAGTCTGGGCTTCATCACAAACTTTTAGTAACCCAGAGCAAGCATTCCTTGGAGACATCCTGGTGACAGACGCCTGAATACCACGGAGGTATCGGGAGTTTCCAGACAGCCACACAAAGTCTGTGTGCGTGAGTCTGTCTCATAAGGCGAGTCCTTTCGGCTTGCATGTCTGAGTGTACAATTCCTCTTAAAAATACCGTAGAAGCTAATATGGTTTTTCTAAATTTTGGGAACTAAACTTCTACAGTGCCAGCATTGACTGGACTGAGTTGAGCCATTTTAGTTAAGACACAACTGATTCTCAGAAAACATGCATGAATCAAGAATTTATCTGTATGCTGGTATTTCCCAATATCCTCCTTTCTTGAGGGTTCTCCTAGAGCCCATCTCTGAATTTCCGTGTTTTAAGATACAACTGGAAGTGGAATGAGTCAATTACGGAGATGAGGAAGGAATTTGGTAGTCAAGAAACTGGAAATGACTTTTATATTCAGTGGAGGAAAAAAAACATAACCACATCATTAAAGTATAAAACTCCTGATTATTGAACTTAAAGGATAAAAGCCTATTTTAATTATAAAAACGAAAACAGAGGAAATTTCATTAAATGCCAAATGGGTTTTTTCAGCAGAAAATAATTATGAACATTAAACTAAGATAAGATAGAAAAATGAAGGTAAGAAAACAGAAGAAATTCTTTTTAACCATGTCCCTTTCTAATGTTTTGTATTATGCTTGATTTTTGTTCTAAATGTTGCAGAAAAGGGTGTTTTAACAGTGTCTAGCAACCTGTGCTTGACCATAAATCATACTGAGCACATTTGCTGCAGAAAAATCCGCCCTTGGGGATTTCACCTGGGGTAATATCAAGATGGTTTGTAAATATGAGGTCACTACACTGGCCACATTCACGACTGCTCCCAGAGGCAGTGTGCTGGGGGGAGGCCTGGATGCAGAGGACCCTTGAGTTCCTACTCCCCAGCCAGGCGACCCTGGCAAGACAGTTAATCTCTTAGAGACTCCGTTTTCCTGCAAGTTAACTATTTAGTTTGTCTATTCATGAAGATCAAATAAGATAGCAGGGTGAAATTATAAGGCGCAATGCAAATAGAAACTATTATTGACGTGAAAAAACACATGCACAGAAAGTAACAATGGGTATGTCTGCCCAGCAATGTACAGCATACAATGTGTCAGTCTGTCTTTGGAAGGTCACTCACCGCTGTTGCTAATATTTTCAGGGAGCCAGGTCACAGAGCAGTTGTCTTTAAATTCCAGGCTCTTTATTTGCAAGCGGTAGGACCGTAGGCGGTACTAACCTCACCTGTAGTAATCATGAGGCATAGGGCTGGACAGTGTCTAACTCATAGGCTGTTGTAAAAGTTAAATGAGATCATTCATGTGAAAAGCCTGTGGCCTGGTGCCTGACTCAGAGCAGGCATTCAGTCAGAATGAGGTATCCGATAGTCCCATGGCCTCACCCTCTACGTCCTTACAACCTCTCAGATGTACGTATGACTCTCATTATCCTAAAGACAGTATACTCACTAAAGCCAGAATAGCTGATTTAATCAAAGTGCTCAGAACACTGTAAGAGAGGTGTGTGTAAGAGACACTCATTCAAATAGGAAAACAAAGGAGTAATTCTACTGTATTCTTGTCTTTGAAAAAATCTCTCTTCACCGAAAAGCGTTCCTCCTTCAGTTCCTAACACATTCTCCTTTCCAACAGTCTGCCAAGTGAGTCGCTGGAAGCTGATTATTAGGAGGCAGGGCTGGTGAGGACTGGGCCCGAGAAACATCACTTACTGTGAGTCATTTAGTGTCTGCGTGAATGTCACATTAGCTTTCAAGGGGCATAATTTACTGTTAATTAATGGTCACTTAAATCCTTAATCTCTCTCCTGTAATAGATCTTTCTCCTCAGGCAAATTTGCATTTATCGTAGAAATGCAATTTATTATTTCTTCCCATTTTAAACAAACAACGTGTTCCCCTTCTACCTTATTTAAGTCCATTTCGTGTGCTTCTTATTTTTTTCCTATCATTGCTTGTTTCTCCTTTGCTCCTAGTTCTAGCTTCCAGAACGTTCTCCTTTCACCCAAAGACCTTGACATGTTTGAGGAAATAAGTGTTTCTCCGCGGGGGGCCCATCGCTTGTTGCCTGGAAGAGTAGCTGGAACCGTCTTCCTGAGCAGAGGGAGCAGGGCACAGGCGTTCGTTTCTGTTATGTTTAACTCCGTCTCAGGCAGTTTCCTGGACTGAAACATGCAGTTTCGGTTATTTCCCCAACTGGGACTTGAATTGGGAGCTCCCAAGCGAGGTAAAATGAAGTTGCCCAAAGCGGAGTCTGCCGGAAAAGCACCAGACCAGCTTTGCTGTGTGCTTCCCACTTCTCTCCCGGGGGCACACCGGCGAGAGACGGGCCCAGGTGGAGAGGCTCACAGCACGTTGACAATCACAGTTCACAAAACACACGAAACACGATGCCTGATGCAAGCCCCCCGCCTCAGTCTGGCACGCCTGGGTAGCTGACGCCCCTTCAGGCATCTTCGGGGTGAACAGTTAGAGAGTTAACATTCTCATTAGGTTCCCAGCTCTGATGGTAATGACCGCGAACATTCCACTGCCCACAATGAGTCTGGAATTGCACCTCCAGCATCGTTGTTAGCATTTTGGTCACAATGACATTAATAAATCATAGAAATTGCTGCCTGTGGCGGCAAGTGACATGACATCATTCATAAAGAAATGGGTATAAACAGGATTGTCGCACAGGGAGGAGATACCTCATTTACAGTTTCCTGCTGGATGCTGCATACCTGCAGCAGCTCATCAAAATAACCATCAAGACCACTGAGAGGCAGGCGAATCCACGCGCAGGACACCACGGATGGGTTTCACCCAGGCGCTGTGGCAGGAGGTGTGCAATTTGCTTCAGCCCAATGAGTCTGCGAAGCTCTGAATTCCCCACGGGCTGACAAAGCTTGTGAACAAAATATCTTTTTGCAATTCAGAGAAAACCCTCACAAATTTGTCACTTCCAATCGTTGATGCTCATTTCTCTTGCTTCTTTCCTGCTGGCCTCCCCTCCCCCAACACCAACGCCTGCTCCTCCACAAATCAAGATTCCTGGGTCATAGGAAATGGTTGCTCCCTGGAACCACAGAGAATTTTCCCAAAATGAAGATCTCATTTTCTGACAAGTGTATCTTACTTAAAGACAGACCAAGTGAGATAAGTGGATTTTTTTGGAGGAGAAAGAAAGAATTGGAATCTCATTAATCCTATTATTTAGAAATCCACGCAGATTTTTGGGGTCATCCGTGGTCCGTGCTTTTACCTGGGTTTTCAATTTAACGGTTGAATTACAAATGGAAAATCAAAAGACAAATCCAAGGGGAAAGTTCAGTTTGGGCTAAGTGTATAGGAAGGTTTCTTTCATGTGGCAGGAGGTGTTACAGGACAAGGAAAGGATTCATCTTCAAGATGCATGATTGTTATGGAAATGACATTGTGGGTGCAGTTTGGCATCCTTAGAGATGGGGTGGACCTATTTATCTTGACAATGAGATTTCTCTATTGGGCACATAGGCTATCATCTTACTTACATCAGTTATTTAAAACTGCCAAAAAAAAAATCTACCAGCCGGCCGTGGATTTAAGCGTATCGGGTCAGCTGAAACTATATTCTGCAAGGAGCCACCGCGTCCGGAATAGTCTGAGATCTGAAGATGCCACGTGGCTCTTATTTTCATCTTCACGATGATAGTTTTCTTCTCCAGGAATGCTAGCCATAGATACAGCTCGCCCCAGGAACTCCACCCTGCATCATCTCACCAAGCATCTGTTACAGAAATATCACAAGGACGTGAGACCGGTTCACGACTGGTCAGAGGCCACCACCGTGTACCTGGGCGTCTTCGTCCGCGCTGTCCTGGCTGTGGTAAGGACCATCACCCTTGCCCTTCCCTGCTGCCCTTTGTGAAACCACCTGCTGTTTGCACAGGCGCTTAGGAGTGATTTTGTTCTTGAGGTTCTTGTTGAGACCGCAGGGCTTGTGCTAGGCTCATTTTACCTGTGAGCACGAGGTAGAATATTTATTAGGCAAATCATGCTTTCTAGTCCCCAGCTCACATTGTGAAGGGCAGATAGTCTAGTGTTTCACAGCATTAAGATGTTTCAAGAATTCCGGTCGTAGATCGGGTGCATATTTTACGAGTATTGCTGAAACAAAAAATGGTAATAGGCATTTTCTCCTATGGTTCACATTTCTTAGAGACAGTACATTGACAAAAATATCTGCCACTTATTGCTTGAAAATTTAAAAAGAGGAAAGAGTACTTTGGTATGAGTTTATAAGGGGCCTTATAGCTAAGGTTTTGCGGAGGGTGGTGGGTTTGTTTACTAAGGCATGTTTTTTTCCTACCATATCTGAAAAATGGGTTGTTGTATGAATTAAATGATAACAATTCATGTGAAGCCATTAGCAGAGGTCTTAGTAAGGCCTCAGGAAATGATGTCCCTGCTTTCTCTTTCCCCTTTTTCTTAATTACCAAGTGTTCAATTCCAATAGGCCCCAGACTTATTTTGATTTCTCTTATTTCAATTTATTTTTTCAATATAGTTGACATACAATGTTATATTAGTTTAAAGTACACAACACAGTGACTAGACGTTAGTGTGCCTTACAAAGTGATCCACCCTGATCAGTCTAGTGCCCAGCTGGCGCCTTACATTGATTTCTCTTATAAGCAGACTTTACTGAGCTTATTTTGTTAAAGTAGTTTAATGATTGTATTTCAATTTACTTCTCAAAACTACTTTTTAAAATTGAAGTATAAGATACATATATTGAAATGCCTAGATCTTAAATGTATAATTTGATGAAGTTTTTAATAACTGCGTGCATCCAAATAATCCATACCTATCAATGTATCAGACATTGTCATCACCCCAGAAAGATTCCCTTGTCCCCGAGCTCCCCCACAGTGGCTGTCCCCACCCCACCCCAGAGGCTCCGTGCAGATCTGAGGCTGGGAGACAAGAATAGCGTGGAGAGAGAGTGGTTTCTCTCCCAGAAAGATAATGCAAAAGCAGAGGAACCTCTTTTTCAAAAGCAAAAGGGCAAACCAGCCCAGGTCAGGGGCATGGACTTGCTGGCCCATGGCCAAAGAACCAAGATGAGGCTTGGACCTGTGAACCCTGGGGCAGGGGTGGGGGGCACCAACTAAGAAGGGCTCCTGGTGGCTAACTGGGCTCAAATTATTTTTTTCTTTATTGATTTTCAGGGAGAGAGGAAGGCAGAGGGAGAGAGAGATACAAACATCGATGGGAGAGAACATCAATTGGCCGCCTCCTGCATGCCCCCCGCTGGGGATCAGGCCCACAACCTGGGCATGTGCCCTGACCGGGAATCAAACTGACAACCTCTTGGTGCAGGGTCGACGCTCAACCACTGAGCCACACCAGCTGGGCCTTGTAGTTGTTTTTTTATTGTCTGCAGGTACAATCATGTCATCTGCAAATAGTTGTACTTCTTCCTTTCTAATCTGTATGCTTTTTAGTTTTTTCTTTCTTCTCTTACTGCATTGCTTAAGATCTCTCCTACTATGTTAATAGAAGTAGTGCTAGCAGACATTCCTTTGTTCTCGTTCTTAAAGGAAAATCTTTCCCATCGGTATGGTGCTAAGCTATCATGGTATTTTGAGTAGATGGCCTTTATCAGGTTGAGGATATTTTCTCCCATTTTTTGTATGCGGGGAACTTTTTAAAATTACAAATGCATGTTGAATTACATCATATATTTTTACTCTATTTGAATGATCATATGATTTTTTTCTATTATATTCAGTTAGTAGAGTAAATTGTTTTAATTGATTTTCAAATGTTAAACTATCTGTGCATTCTTAGGATAAACTTTACTTTCTCTTGATATAGTATCCGTTTTATATACTTCTGGATTTGAATTCTTACTTAATACAGATTGCATCTATGTTAATGGGAGAATTGGGCTATAGTTTTCACTTCTTGTAATGGATGTCTGGTTTTGGTATCAGGGTTATATTGGCCTTATAAAACTAGCTGAAAAGTGTCCCTCAGTTTTCTGAAGGTGTTGTGGAACATGAATATTTTCCTTCCTTAACGTCTGATAGAATACACCATTAAAACCATCTTGGACTGGAGTTTGTTTTTGTGTGTGGGAAGGTATTTAAATGTGAATTCAGTTTCATTAACATATATAAGAATGTTCAATTTTTTTTTTTTTTTTATCCTCACCCGAGGACACTTCTTGCATTTGTCTTCAGATAGAGCAGGAGAGAGAGAGGGAGGAAGAGAGAGAGAGAAACATCGATGTGAGAGAGACACACATCGACTGGTCGCCACCCACACGCCCCCAACCGGGGCAGAGCACAAACTGCAACCGAGGTAGGTGCCGTTAGTGGGAACCGAACCGGGGTGTCTCTGGTCCACGGGCTGACGCTCTAACCTCTGAGCCAAACCGGTCAGGGCAGAATGTTCAAATTTTTATTTCTTCTTGTTTCAGCTTTGGTATTTTGTATTTTTTAAGGAATTTGTCTTTTATCCAAGTTGTCAAATTTATTTGTTTATAATATTGCTTTTTTAAAATTAATTTTAGAGAGAGGGAAAGAGGGAGACAGAGAAAATAAATAAATAAAACATTGATGTGAGAGAAAAACATTGATCAGTTGCCTTGCTTTCTACAAGCACCCTACCTGGGGGTCAAACCCCTAACACTCCAACCCAGGTATGTGCCCTTACTGGGAATCTAACTGCCACCTCTGGTGTATGGGATGATGTTCCAGCTAACTGAGCTACACTGGCCAGGGCTATAATTCTTTTTCTCTTTTACTGTCCATAGGTTATCTAGTCTTTTACATTTCTCATATCAGTAAGTTGTGTTTCCTCTTATTTTCCCTTGGCCTATATTGCCAAAAGTTTATTCATTTTCTTTGTTTAAAAAAAAACCACACAAATATTGGTTTTGAGTTTTCTCTATTGTTTGTTCTTTCATTGCTATCTGCTCATATATTTGTTTTTATTTTGCATTTAATTTTTCTTCTTTATCTAGCTGTTTTTAAAGTGGAAACTTACATTATTGATTTCAATCCTTTTTATTTTCTAATTTTAGCATGTAAAGTTATAAATTTCCCCCAAGCACTGCTTTTACTGCATCTTACAAAATTTTGAAACATTTTTAAATTGAGGTATAAATTACACACAATGAAACTCATCTTTCTTAAGCAAATCTCTTCCTTCTATCCTCAGTCCCTGAGAATGACTGAGCTTATTTTTCTTGGTATAGTTTTGCCTTTCCAGAAGACCATGTAAATGAAATAATATGGTATTTTGCCCTCTATTTTTGGCTTTTTTCACTTAGCATAATGCTGTTGAGAGTTGTCTATGTTGTGTTGTTTTACATGTGGGCTGTTTCCAATGTGTGTCTATTATGAATATAGTCACTATAAACATTTTCATATGTTTTCACTTCTCTTGGATAAATACTTAAGTGTGGGATTGCTGATTTCTATGCTAAGTCTATGTTTAACTTTATAAAGTTAACTATATTCCAAAGTGACTACATCATTTTGCATCCCACCAGCAATGTATTAGAGTTTCAGTTCCTCCATGTGATGACCAGCGCTTGACATTGTAAATCTTTTAAAACTTGAACCATTCTAGTAGATTTGTGGTGGTGGCTCACTGTGGTTTTTAACTTTCATTTTACTGCAGACTAATTATATCGAACATCTTTTTGTGAGCTCATTTGCCAATTGTGTGTCTTTTTGGGTAAAGTATTTGTTAAAATCTTTTACCCATTTAAAAAAAAATAGGATTGTTTATTATCTTATTGAGTTGCAAGAGTTGTTTTATATACTTTGGGTCTATTTCTGGACTGTATTCTGTTCAGCTGTTCAGTATGTTCTGACACCAGCACAGTCTCAATTACTGCAGCAGTATAGGAGTCTTGAAGGCAGACCGTGTGTCTGCCAGTCTTGTTCTTCTGTTTCAAAATATTTTGACTCTTCTGGAGCCTTTTTCTTTCCATATAAACTTTAGACTCAATTAATCAATTTCTAGTAGAAAAAAAAACCTGATGGAATTTCTACTGGGATTGCATTATATCTACAGATCATGTGTTCTTGGTTAGCATCCTTTTATCATTATGAAAAGCCCCTCTTCATCGTTGGCAGTATTCTTTTTTCTTGCAGTTTTTCTTATGCTAACTTTTGCATGATACATACATATATATATATAGCCCTTCGTTTATTTTCAATCATTCTGTAATGTACTTGAAGTCATTTCTTGAAGACAGCATGTAGTGGGTCTTGATTTTCCCCCCAACTTTTTATTTTGACATAATTACAAATTGACAAGAAGTTGTAAATACATTTACAAGGAGGTTCTGTGCACACTTCATCCAATGTCTCCCAATAGTAACGTGTTGCATTAATATAGTACAGTGTCAATACTAAAAAATAACATTTGTGCAATCCACAGAGCTCATTCAGTTTTCTCCAGTTTACATGTATTCAGATTTGTATGTGTGCTTCTATGTAATTTTATCATGCATGTAGCTCTGTGTAACTGCCACCACCACGCCAAGTCATGAGTCACACCACAGGGCTCCCTGGTCCTGCCCTTTCCCGCCAGCCCCTTCTGCTCCCAGCCCCCAGCTACTGGCCACCAGTCAGTCTATGCTCCGTCTCTACAGCTGTATTTTCAAGACTTTTATATAAATGGAACCATACAGTACGTAACCTTTGAGACTGAGTTTTTTCACTCAGTATAGTTCCCTTCCTGTTCTTCGAAGCTGTGTGGGTATCAATAGCTCATTCCCTTTGGTTGCTAAGCAGTAGTCCAGGGCATTGCTTTTTAAACCGGCCAGTCTATGCGTTTTTATTGAAGTGTTTCGTCCATTCA